TTATTAAAGTTTTTAAAAAGTTACCTCACGTACATCCGTTCGATAAAATAAAATTATGTATCTTACCTAGTTTGAAGAGCACCTCTTGCCCCCCTCAATTGCATGCACTATCCCCGTCACCACTAATCCCAGAACCACTACTCCCAACACCACTACACTAGGAAAGACACACCACTGACATCTTCAGGTGATGTAGACTCTGCGATGGCTGACCGCTAAGTGAGCGGCGAGCCAAAACAACTGCTATACTGCAGTTGTTTTGGCTTTGAGGGAGGGCGGAAGGTGCTGTTCAAACTAGGTAAGGTACATCATTTTATTTTATCGAGCGGATGTACGCGACGTAACTTTTTAAAAACTTTAACATAATGGATTTCCGCAAAGTTACGCCTGATTCTATTAATTATCATTCTATCTTAGTCTTCACGGCTGACAACGCATCTGCATTTTAAATCGCAAACGAAGATAGATGTAGATGTCTATGGGTCACAGCAACTACTTATCTTCAGGTGAATTTTGTGCTCGTTTATCACCCTAATTCTATAAAAAAGACAATACAGGTGATCCTGCTAACAATAGCACGAATTGTCAACCATTCGTCTGCCAAGCGTAAATAAAGCAAATCCTCACACAATAGGAGAGGCTGATGAGGGAGAACAGACAAAATAATCGAAAATTAGAGATGACAACAAAAATTTAATATATTCTATTTAAAAATACACTTAATTGTTTTAAGTGTACTTGGCATTGAAAAAAAAATTATGGATATTATCGCGATTAATTTAATTTGTTTTTAGTTATTTATGTCATATTTAGTCCGTGCAACCTTCAGCATTTCTTATGACATGTAGTTTTTGGTTTTAAAATTAAAATAAAATATAATATTCCACATGCTCTTGGTTAAAACTTGGTCTTTTTGAAAAAAACATAGACACGGAAATCGAAATAAATATTACAAGAATAAATCTCAATAGATAATATTATAAATTCTTTCCTACCGAAACAACTGTCTCCGCCTTGAACGTGCCGTGTACGTTTGCGAGTACGAAGAAATCGTAAATTCACATATAAAGCTCCGTGCGGTTTTCGGTTCAGTTTTTGAAGTGAGCTAGTAGTAGTTATACATTAAAAACAACGAAAAGTGTTTTGAGCAATACGAAATACAAATATATTTTCAATATTCGCTGCTGATCCCTTCATGCGGGCCATGCAGCAGCTATATTAGTAGTATGGTTGCAGCACGAATGAGTCGGCTCGACCGGGTAAGGACCACGCTCTCACAGAATACCAGCGTTAAATAGCAGCTTGACACTGCTGTGTTTCGTATGGTGAGTGTAGAGAACCGGAGATCCTTTTTACTGGAAAAGAGGCATTCCATCTTAGTCCTCACGGGTGACAACGCATCTGCATTTTAATTCGCAAACGAGGATAAATGTAGATGTGTATGGGCCACAGCAACCACTTACCATCAGTTGAACTGTGTGCTCGTTTGTCACCTATTCCTATAAAAAAAAAAGATGAACATTGGGCATGCCAGTTGGTGAGGCCGATATCTATGCACTGGTGCTATATCAAATCACCGACCACTTGGAGTTGAACTCAGTTGGACGAGCTAGAGCCACGCTGCAGCTCTATTATAACTATGCGAATGGGTCAGCTCAACTGCAGACGGACTACGTTCACACAGAATACCAGATTAATGCTTCTGAGTTACGTATGGTGATTGTAGAGTATCGAATACCATTTTTACTGGTAACGAGACATTATATCTTAGGCCTCAGGGATGACAACGACATCTACATTTTGATTCTTAATTGATGACAGTTGAAGGTGGTTATAGCTCTCAGTATCCGCTTACCTAGTCAGATTGTATGCTTCTTTGTCACCTTTGTACAAAAAATTCGTAAAGGAGAATGGGATTTTTGGGCCTGAAGTTAACTAATTGGCTTAAACTGGCTATATTTTTCTAAAATAAAGTACAAAAAAGTAGCACTTTTTACCATCTAGAATTCGAAAAACCAATAAAATAAGAAATAAGTTAGAAAATAGATTGTATCGAAAATCGATATTATATTTATTCGGATACGAAAAATAAAATGAAAAAGGTTGCAAGGTTTCATTAAAATTATATTATTTACTTTGAATGATACATTCATTTGGAAATAAAATATATTATTCGCTTATAGAAAAAAGAAAGATAAACAGTTTATGGCAATTTAAATCGATTACCATAAAGATACACTTATGGAATTCTCGTTTCTAAACGTTATCTTTCAATACAGGAATTCTCATTTTGAATTTGAAACTTGGCTTGACAGTTCAAACTTCAAACTATTAATTTAAAAGAAAAAGATAGATTTTGGATTCGATTTGAAATGAACGCAATATAATCGATTCTTGATTAAATTGAGTGTATTAATATCTATTTTTGATTATTTTTCTGTGTTTAGGAGATAAAAAATATCATACATATCTACAAAATAATAATAAAAATACAAAATATCAACATTCCAACATGTAACAGTAACAACAACAATTCATGTAATCGATCTCAGATCGATATCCCTAATATTCACTTCACTTAGTTGTTATTAATTTAACTTTCGTTAATTGTTTCACCATTTTTTTTTCCTTATTAACTACAACTTTTGTTTAGTGATTTTATACTGATCCTGCGTTTATATGTTCAAGTAATTATAGTGAAAAATATCCTGTTACAGAGTAATAACAGTGAAAAATCACCTGTTACAGTGTAGGTAATACTTAATCTCACTTTTACTTATTCTACAATAACTCAGCTCCTAGATTGACAAATCTCACCAGATTTTTAGCTATGAATCGTTTATATATACGCTTTCAAATGGTCCTACTTTCATCTTGGGCCTGGGCTCAAGAATGTATGGAGACGTCTCCTTCTCCTTTGTTTTCTCTATATTAAAATTTGAAAAGTACGTAAGTCAAAAAATTTTTGAATAAAATAAACCACAATAACAATACACACGAAATCAGAAAATAAATCACATATCGATTAGACAATCACGCGTACATAATACACACTGAAAGTTCTGAGCCCCTGGCCATTTCAAATGATTTATTTTTTAAACATAAGTAACTCATAATATCTAGATTAAAATAATTAAAGGGGGGAATTCGCGTGTCAATTGTTTTTTTTTTTGTTATTTGTTTGTTGACGTTCGTCACCCGTTTTAAAAATGGAATTAACACGATGTTGTTTTTAACACAATGATTTTATATGTTTTTAATAGTTCACTCTCTCCGCAAGATTGCACTCTTGTTTTCGAAATGCTTTTGGGAAAAGAGCACCTCATTTAAGCACCGTAAAGCGTTGGTACGCAGAGTTTGATCATAGCTGTGTTTCTCTTCATGATGACATTCGTGGAAGTCTACCCTCAACTGCGATCACTGAGAAAAATGTGGCTTCTATAAAGCAACTAATTGAAGAAAACCAGAGAATACTTTAAAATGCAGTATATATTTATATTTACATTGAAATTGTTTAATATAAGAGATACGCAAAATTTTCTGTACAAAACATACTGTTACGAGCTTGGGGTTCGAGACAATTAAAAACTGCCGATTGAATTACCAAAATTGACACTTTAATTACACAACACTAATTACAATCTAAACTCACACTAATAATAAAACACAGTTCGCCGTTATTTCGCTTCGAAGTATTCTCTTGTGTCGCCAATTCAATACTGCCTCGGTGGTGGTCTATACCGGCCTTACATAGGGCCTCAGATAGTTTCCAGAACCTTCTACTGTAGCGACATCTAGAATGTTCGAGTACATATCGGTCCAGAAATTTCTGAAAGGATCTCGACTCTCCTAGTTCTGCTACTCGACACTAGAGGGCGTTAGTGTAACTAGTGTTGCCATGTACAAGACATTAATAGTGGCGCGCAATACTTTCATTTACTCGACACTAGAGGGCGCTAGTGTAAGTAGTGTTGCCATGTACAAGACATTAATAGTGGCGCGCAACACTGCCTCCTCCTAAGACATGCTCGTCCCGAGCATTATTGGCCCCATAATAACGCGCCAGTCGATCCACATGGACAATCTTAGGAGTACCTCTGGCACATTTCTGTATCCGGTAGGTTACATCATTGATCCTTGTCACAATCCGGTACGGTCCGTCCCATTTAGCTTGAAGCTTAGGAGATTTCCCTTTGCTGCGAACTGGATTGTGTAACCACACTAGTGAACCTTCATCAAACCCCTTGTTGTTCATTTTGCGGTCATACCGTGTTTTCATCTTCTCAGACGTTTGCTGGCCCGCCTGTCTGACGTGCTCAATAATGTCCTCCATTTTGTTCCGCAAGTCATTTGCATAATCGGTTATACTGCGGGGCATCAGGTGGTATTCCGGTGATCAGGTCTGCAGGCAGCCGTAATTCTCTCCCAAAGTTTGCGAAAGCTGGCGTCACTGACGTACTTTCGTGAACAGCGCTTCGATATGAGAACAAAAACGGTTGTATGTGCCTGTCCCAGTCTCGTTGCCGTTTTTCCACAACTTTTGCCAGGTACCTTTCCAATGTCTGATTAAATCGTTCTACCATTCCATCAGATTGTGGGTGGTAAGAAGTTGTTCGTATTTTATGAGTACCCATAACTCTGCAAGTTTCCTGGAATATTTGAGACTCGAAATTCCTTCCTTGATCGCTGTGAATCTCTAAAGGTACTCCAAAACGACAGAAGACTTCATGAACTAGTTTATCTGCAATTGTTGAAGCTTCTTGATTTGGAATGGCGAAGACTTCTGGCCACTTAGTGAAGTAGTCCATCACAACCATGAAATACTTGTTACCACTTTCACTTTCCGGAAACGGCCCCGCAACGTCAATGGCTATCCTCTCCCATGGTGCACCAACATTGTACAATTTTAATGCGCCTCTACTACGAATTTGAGGTCCCTTTACAGCCGCACAACTTGTACATTTGCGGCACCAGTCCTCGACATCGTCACGACAGTGGACTCAGTAAAACCGTTCTCGGATTTTCAGTAGAGTTCGTTTAACTCCCAGGTGGCCTCCTGAACAACCACTATGGTACAGCTGTAGAACATCCGGTACTTTAGCCTTAGGGACAACCATTTGCAAATGACAACTGTCTCCCCGACCAGTTTCCCATTTATGGCACAGGACTCCATCCTGAATCAGCAAGCTGTCCCATTGGGCCCAATAGCTTTTCGTGGTCGAACTCATTGCTGAGACGTCGCTCCACTTGGGCTTAGGAGCACTGGCCTTCATCCATTCGAGAATCGGCTTAATATCCGAATCTTCCTGCTGTGCATGTTGTAGGCTGTCCTTCCATTCATTGCTGAGCTGGTCTGTCCTGAGCATCCTCACAGATACCACTTCCTTACCCTCTTACCTAGTACAATGCTTGCAATCTTCAGGGCAAGGTCTTCTTGACAATGCATCTGCCATGAGATTTCCCGCTGCGATGTTCGATCACAAAGTCGTATTCCTGCAGTAGTTCAATCCATCTCGCAACTTGTCCTTCCGGATTTTTGAACTGCAATAGCCATTTCAGTGCAGCATGGTCAGTTCGTAAGTGGAATTTCCGCCCTAGAAGATATTTGCTAAAATGCTGCAAGAACTTTACCACAGCAAGCAATTCGCGTCTTGTGATACAGTAGTTCCTTTCCGGCTTTGATAATGACTTGCTGAAGTACGCTATCACAATCTCTTGGTCACCACTCCGTTGAGACAACACACCGCCAAGTCCTATATCACTTGCGTCTGTGTCAACTATGAATTCCTTGCCCGCATCAGGGTACCCCAAAATAGGTGTTTTGCACAGACGGTTCTTGAGCTCCTGGAATGCAATATCGCAACTTTCATCCCAGCAGAAATGTCGCTTCTCCTCGGTTAGCTTGTGCAGAGGTTTTGCTATATCTGCAAAGTTCTTCACAAATCGCCGATAATAAGAGCACAAACCCAAAAATGCTCTAACCTGTGTCTTGTCTTTTGGAACCGGCCACTCCTTGACAGCGGCAATTTTTTCTGGATCCGTGCGGATCCAGAAAAAATTCCTCATCCGTACGGCCTACGATGATGATGTCATTCAAATAGACCAGACAGGCATCTCCAATTAGCTCGGTAAGTACAAGCTCCATCAATCTTTCAAACGTTGCTGGAGCATTGCACAATCCAAACGGCATGACTTTAAATTGCCACAGACCCTTTCCTGTGGAGAATGCAGTTTTCTCCTTTTCCTTAGGGTCAATTTCAACCTGCCAGTAGCCACTTTTCAGGTCCAGCGTACTAAACCACTTTACGCCTGTGAGCATGTCCAGCGTGTCATCAATTCTAGGCAAGGGATAGCTGTCCTTCTTCGTAACGTCGTTCAGGCGGCGGTAGTCAACACAAAACCGCCTGCTGCCGTCCTTCTTCTTTACCAGTACCACAGGTGAACACCATGGACTAGATGAAGGTTCAATAACACCATCCTTCACCATTCCCTCAATCATGGTTTCCACTTCCTTTTCACGTGCTACAGGCAATCTTCTTGGTCGCTGACGAATAGGCAATTCTTGTCCTGTGTTTATTTTGTGTTGAACTAAGCCAGTCTTTCCTATGTCAGCTTCGTTTGACGAGAAAACATTGGCGTACTTGAGTAACAACTTCTTCGCCTTGACCATTTCATTCGGGGAGAGAACGCTGCGACAGTCTTCTAAAAGTGTGGTCACTCTCGTTTGTCCATCCTTGCTAGGGGTCCCGGTCAATAGATATTCGCACCGACGCAACCAATCCACTTCCTCACTAGTACCAACCAATGTGCCTTTTTCTATAATCTGTTCCTGATCACAAAGGTTCAACACACGCACTCCTGAGATGTCGGTGGTTCTGACCAAGGTTCGAGCCACTTTCCATGGAAGGTCATTGTCTACCCTTTCCACGAGTACACAACGATGAGCTTGCCCAGGACTCCGAGGAAGACTTACCGGCACAATCGTTTCCGATCTCGGCGGAAGAACAATCTTCTTAAGGCTGTACACATTCCCTGGTAACGCCCCTTCCATGAAAAGTTCCTCTTGTCCACATTTCAAAACACCTTGCTTAACGTCGATCTCACAACAATTCTTCCTCATAAAGTCTAGGCCCAGGATGCAGTCGTCCATTATATCAGCCACGATGACATTATGCAGTTAGATCATGTTGCCTAGCTTCAACTCCATCTCCTTCTCTCCACGGACGGGTATGCGCTGACCAGTGGCTGTCACCAAATTAATGCGTTCTCGGTTGTATGCGGAGTCCCCAAGGAACCGACTTATAAGTTGGGAACTGACAACCGTGCGAGAGGCTCCAGTGTCTATGGTCAGCTTACACGGCGTTCCGTTGACTTCGCCCTTGATGATTAGGCTGTTCCCATCATGAGTTTGTGAGATCGAAATCCTTGGGGCTCTTTTAACATCAGCCAGCACCCGCCCCGCAGTCCTGGCTTTTACTCGTTTCCCTGCTGCTGCTGGGTGGTGCTATTAGCCGCACTACCCTCTCGAGATCGATCACCTTCCCTTTCTACAGTTCGCTTAGGGCAGCTGGATCGAAGATGGCCCCTTTCCCCACAGCCGTAGCACCTAGGGCTGTAGCTTTTATTGCGGTCCTGAACTGTAGCTGCTACAACCTCCCTGACGCGGTAGGAACGATGATCCTGCCGCACTGCTTCCACCTCCAGTGCATGGGTCAAGGCATCCTTAAGCGTCTCGTGGTGCCCGAGCCTCACAGCAGCTCTGACTTCAAGGTCGCGGATGCCGTCGATGAATGTCTGCACAAGGTTCCCTACAATAAGCGCAGGTACAGACTGGTACGCTTTTCGAACCAGCTTCTCCACCTCAAGGGCCCACTGCTGCAGGTTTTCGTTACTGCGTTGCACGCGATCTTTGAGCTGCGCACGAAAGACGTGTTCCAGGTGAGCGTCGCCATATCTCGCCTCCAATGCCTCAAGGAGCTGCTCGTAAGTCACTTCCTTACCGAGAGCTTCCAGAACAGTTAAGGCCTGGTCGCGCAGGCCCAGGGTGAGAGCAGTCATGGCCTGATTTTTATTCCTGCCGTTCGCTTTCATGACAGCCTCGAACTGGATTTTGTAGGCCGACCAGGAAGAAGTCCCGTCGAACGGTGGCACTTTGAATCCACGTAGCGAAGGTGTTGTAGCTACCACGGGAGCTGTAACTCCATCCCCAATTTTGAGGTCGTTCAGCGTTTTCTTCACGTCAGCCATCACATTGTCAACTCGATTGTACACTTGGTCGATTCGGGTTTCAGCTTCCGACAGGCGGTTGTCATATTGAGCAACCTTATCCTTCACCTCACTTATTTCTTTCCCGAAGGTAGCGCGAAGGTCCTTCATGAGAAGTATCTGCTCTTCCTTATCGCGTGTGAGATGCTCTTCCAACCGACGGCCCTGTTCCTCCTGTTGGCGGGCTTGTTCCTCCTGTCCGCGCTGCAGCTGCTTTTCCAACCGACAAGCCTGTTCCTCCTGTCGGCGGGCCTGTTCCTCCTGTCGGCGGGCCTGTTCCTTCTGTCGGCGAGCTTGTTCCTGCAGCATCATCATCAGAGTACCTAAGTCAGGTGCTGCAGATGCAGGAGCTGCTGACGGGCCGGCCTCCGTGGTCGGCAACTGGCCTGCCGACGTCTGTGACGTTGCACCACCAAATCGTCTCTGGTCCGTCTCCTGTTGGCGTTGACTTCGGGTACGGATACCCTCGGTGTCGTCTTTAGGTAAAATCGGCATATTTGATCCCACTTCTGACACCAATTGTTACGAGCTTGGGGTTCGAGACAATTAAAAACTGCCGATTGAATTACCAAAATTGACACTTTAATTACACAACACTAATTACAATCTAAACTCACACTAATAATAAAACACAGTTCGCCGTTATTTCGCTTTGAAGTATTCTCTTGTGTCGCCAATTCAATACTGCCTCGGTGGTGGTCTATACCGGCCTTATATAGGGCCTCAGATAGTTTCCAGAACCTTCTACTGTAGCGACATCTAGAATGTTCGAGTACATATCGGTCCAGAAATTTCTGGAAGGATCTCGACTCTCCTAGTTCTGCTACTCGACACTAGAGGGCGATAGTGTAACTAGTGTTGCCATGTACAAGACATTAATAGTGGCGCGCAATACTTTCATTTACTCGACACTAGAGGGCGCTAGTGTAAGTAGTGTTGCCATGTACAAGACATTAATAGTGGCGCGCAACAATACTTTAAAATGTAACGGTGGTTATTGTATGCTTCAGATTCGGTATAAGATAGAGATCTCATGAGGAAAATTTCTACGAGGAATAAATCAAAACAACATTACTTACGCTCTTCTTTACTTCCCATAATAAACAAATATAATAAATTACTAGATAACTAGACATCCTTTCTCTTGGTCTAATTATCAGAAGAATTCTCACCCTAAATTCCTTTAAATATTAGGCTTTTTTGTAGAATAATGTTGATATACGAACACACAGTTCACCTTTTTCGCTCCTGAGGACTAAGATGGAATGCCTCGTTTTCAGTAAAAAGTTGTCGTCAGTTAAAATCGCAAAAAAAGTGGTTCCCTACACTCACCGTACTAAACACAGCAGTATTAATCTGCCAGTTTACGCTGGTATTCTGTGGGAGCATAGTCCTTCCCCGGACGAGTAGACCCATTTGTGCTACAACCATAATATAGTTGCAGCATGGTTCTACCAAACTAGACACAATTAGGCACAAGATAGAACGGTGAGCTGAAGGTAGGGAAATTCGGAATAGGTAAACGGAACCCAAGGAACTCTTCATGATGAACTCTTTCTTCCAGAAGCGACCCCACAGGAAATGGACTTGGTCGAGCCCCGACGGTCTGACAAAAAATGAGATTGACTTCATAATGACGCCCAGAAGACAACTGTTCAGTGATGTCTCAGTAATCGCGAGGTTGAAAACCGACAATGATGGTGAGAGACATACTGAACCTTAACGTTAATTTGGAGAGGTCACGTATAATGAAGTTAACACTCCGTCCCCCTCTCGCTCTAATCCAAAATCCCGAAACCTTTCAGCTTGAGCTACTAAACCGTTTTCAGTGCTTAGAAGATTGCAGTGCAGTGGACGATATGAATGATAAGCTCGTGGAAACTGTCCATGCGGTCGGATCTAAGTTTTGCAAGACCCACGGAAGAAGAACACAAAAACTACCCGATCACACTCTTAGTCTCATGGCTGTTACACTAGGAATGAAGCTGCACTCTTCGGTAGATTTGTCAGCAAACAGACAACTGAACAGACAGATCTCCAAACGCATGCGGCGGGACTTACGCAACTTTAATACTGATCGAATTGAAGAATATATTTAGAT